AATAATGAAACTTTAACTCCAGAATGTGATGAGCTTAGAGACAGCTCTTTTGGAGCTAATTAGGTTGGGGAGGTCTTGAGAGAATGGGGGCTCCTACTGATGGAGTTCATGTCCTTATAAAGGACATCATAGTGCTCAGGAAGATGAGATGGAAGAACAGTCCACAAGTTCAAGATTGCCCTGGGTGACATAATAGGTTCTAAGTTAACTTGGGCTACAAAGTGAGACCCATTCTCAAAACTACACACACACACACACACACACACACACACACACACACACAAGAAAAAATAAGAGAACATGAGAGAGAGACATGCTGTCTCTCCCCACTCCATGCTCCACCAAATCCCTAAAGAAAGGGCATGTGAGAACATCTAGTTGATGACCATCTATAGACCAGGAAGAGTGTTCTTCATCCGAAACTGAATTGCCTAGCACAGTGACATCGGGCTTCTCACCTTCTATAACTGAGATGCATTGTGTTAAATACTCAGCCTACAAGTTAGTTATTGCCACCACCACCACCACCACCACCAACACCTAGAAAACAAATGCATGTGACATTCTCCAAGATGGTCATAGTATGTTCATCTGGGGTGTTTTATGCTAGTAAAAGATCTGCCCTTAGGTAGGCAGGGCAATGGGATACAGACAATATAGCAAAGCTAAGATCTTTAATATCTTACGCGAGTCATGGTGCCCAACATTGTCATACAATTTTGTGCATTGTTGCTTGGTTAGAAATTGCCTGAGCTGGACCATAAAGTACTTGAAATAAGTACCAAGTTGGTAGCCAAAAGAAGCAGATGACCACCTCCAGATCTCTCTGGAAGCAGGCAGGATGGGAACATAAAAGTAAATTAGTAAGAATTGCACAAGGAAGCGGAAGTCTCCAGCAACAAACCAGTGCTTGGAGCAGCCATTTTTCGACCTATAACAATATAACAGAATAGCTTTTGGCCCTGCTGGATATAACAATGCAAGTGTCATCCTGAACAACAGATATCTTAGGTGGCATCATGTACAATTCTTATCCTTTTATGAACAGCTCAAATGTTATCTCTTCCATGACTTTCCTAAATGTCGATTGAAAATGACATTTGGATATTTTTACATCCTGTAGTGCAGAATTTATTAATCTTTCTCTGAGGCTTCAAGTGAACCTTGGCTTTACTTTTCTAAAGCACTTATAACATCGCGTTAGTAGGAAGTTGGGTATGGTTTCTGCCCTGCTCCACAGTGAACTCTGAAGACAGAACTGTGAACAGAGAAACTACTCGGCCAGCATTGGGAAAAAATGAGTTGAGTGGATGATGAATGAACGAGGTGAATGGTAAATGGAAGAATGAATGGCGGATAAATTAGTGAGTTAATTCACGAGGAGTGAATGAATCTGTGTTCTTTTGGTGAGCCTTCACTTACCTCTGACTTGTAGAGATCCTTTGACCCGACTTCCAGGCTGAGGCTGACGATCTCTATCTGCCCATTTACGAATCTCAGAAGTGTGTTTAAGCACTGCCATGTCTTGAGTCAGCCGTGGGCCCTGCCATGATATGGAGGCAGTAAGCTCCAGAGTAACATACAAATATTCCACACTTCACTAATACCCATGTCAAAGATTCCTCAGCTATTAGAATACACCATAACAGCCTGGACTTCTGTGCAGCCTAAGTTTGGAGGGCTGTCCTCTTGTTTCCTAAGGAAGCAATTGTCTCACCATCCACATTCAGAGCCAACTCCTTAAAACATTATTTCCTTGCCAGTCACAAGTTCCCTAACACTCAGTCTAGCCTCTGACCAATGCTTTTAAAGTAAAATTAAACCAGTCATGTTTAAGGACATCCAAATGTTAAGTTCAGAGTAGGCTCTGTAGTGCATATGCCATTAGCCCCTGAATCTGTCACAAGGCATCAGACAAGGTGGCAAATTCTATCAGGATGCCCGGAATGCCTCCCATCTGGTCTTCTCTCCCTTTCTTGGTTAGTATCCAGCCCCTTCCCTGCTCTTTCTGAACACTATTTAGGCTTGCCCTTACCACTGTGAATTCTTAAGAGGAGACTCCTCATGGATGTAGGGTAGATAGTTGAGGACCTAATATATTAATGCCTAATATATTATAGGCTTATATTATGGCAGAAAGACAGAGTAAAGCAAAGATGTTGCCCTCAAATAATAACAGACAGGCAGTTGTCACCTACTAGCCAAATGACATGTGGACTAGATGAGATGACATTGGACTAGTCAGGAAGAAAAGATTTTGTTTTATCTTTATATATGTATATATGACTGTTTTGCCCGCGTGTATGTCTGTGCACCATGATCCCCTTGAAACTGGGCTTACGGGGAGTTGTGAGCTGCTATTTGGGTGCTGGGAATCGAACCTGGGTCCTCTGGAAGAATAGTCAGTGTTCTTAATCCCAGAACCTTATCTCCAGCCCCTTGGGAAGGAAGGCTTTAAGCATTTGGTTTTCTCTTCCTTCTTTGCTGCCTGTCTTCTACAAGTACTTATTTAGTGTTTATTGTGACCTGGACATTGTCCTTAGGAAAACCACAACAAATAATCCCATGTCTTTGTGCCCTTACTAAGCTTACATTTTGGTACAAATGAAGAGAAGTAACTCCAAAAAGAGACACAAGTACACACACAAAAAAAAATTAAGTAAAAAAGTAGGTCAGTTCCTCAAAAAGTTAAAGAGGATTACCCTATGACCCAGAAATCTCACTCTTGAGTTGATACCCAAAGGAACTGAAAGCAGAAAGATAGCAGATCTCTATACACTCGTACTTGTGTCCATGGCAACAGTCTTCTCAATGGCCAAAAGACGGATGATAAGCTGATAAACACAAGGTGGAATAGATGGAGGGATGGATGGATGGATGGATGGATGGACTGGACGGATGGATGATAGATGGATATATGGATGGATGGTGGCTAGATGATGGATGATTAGATAGATAGATAGATAGATAGATAGATAGATAGATAGATAGGATAGATAGATAGTCGGACGGATGGACAGACAATACATAGGGCATTCTAGCACATGCTATTGCATGGGTGAGATTTGAAGACTTTAGGATAAGTGAAATAAATGTATATTAAAAGGACCAAGCCTATATGATTCAACTTTCATGAGACCCCTAAATGATCAGTTTTACATGGAATATAGAAAGACCCTTTACACAAGCTGCAAAGAGTGAGGGGAGGGGAGCTTGACAAAATGAGAAAGTTGGAGAGATGGATGGTGACCCCCCAAGACAATGTTAATAAACTTAAAGCCGTGAGATGCACACAAAGATTGTTAAGACGGTAAACATTGGCTATGATTTTTACCACTCAGTCTTTCTTTCTCTTTAAAAGGAGAGATGTGAAGCTGGGGTGGGGATGATTTTAATTAGAATCGTCTGAGAAGAGCTTCTGGGGTGATTCTGAGTCAAAGCTAATCACAATGAGAAAAACCTAAGATGACACGGGCTCTTTCTGATTTTGTTCTAAGTACAACAGGATGCATTTGAAGTGTTTTGATTAGCTGAAAAGTGAAACCAGACATGATAGCACACACCTTTGACCTCAGTGCTTAAGAAGCAGAGGTAGGTGGATCTCTGGAGTTCCAGGTCAGCCTGGGCTACATGGTGAAACCTTGCCATGAACAAAAAGAAAAGAAAAGAGCAAGCACCTTAAAAGATTTTAAGATTAACTTGAAAGATTTTCTCGGCTGTATCTGCAAAGCACACAGAGGTTTCTTCTGGGCGAAACCCAGAAGCCAGGAGGCGTTTTAAGGGGCCCCTGCTGTCACCTGAATAGTTAACTCGGGATATTGAGATGATTATGAAGAAAGCGGGTGTATCAGGTTACAGTTCAAGGGAGTGACTGACTGAGAACTCGATTTGGGTATGAGGGACAAAGGCTGGCATGTCTATTTTCAGTTGAGAACTTTGCATTTGGGATTCCCTATACTGTGATGGAAATGACAAGCCAAAGCCAGTTGGCGGGTGAGGAAGGTACAGAGAGGCAATCAAGAGCCATGCTACACGGAGTGGGATGATGAGCCCAGTGCCTGCCAGACTAACTCCAAGAAGTCCTTGCTTAAACTTAATGAATGAAGAATAAAGTGAGTGGCTAACTCAATGGAGGGTAGGAGCAAGGTTGAGGGGAAGAATTAGTTCTAAACTTTACAAAATCTGAAGGGGAAGATTTGGCAAAATCATGATTGTAAAGAATACCAATCTAGAACTCGTGATACTCCCAAACCATACATGAGGGCTTTATTCTAAAACTCCTCTTCCTTCCATGGGAATGTGCTTCTAAAGCCACCAAGCCCTGCCTCGGGGTACAGAAAGGCAGAAAGATAGAGGGAGGGGGCAGGCTCTCCATGGCTCTTCAGGATTTGAAATAGGAGCAGGGCCCACAGAGGCCCCTCTGAAACTCTACCCACCTCCTGCCAGTCACCAAGCACTGATTTTACTGTTCTCTCTCTCTCTCTCTCTCTCTCTCTCTCTCTCTCTCTCCCTCCCTCTCTCTCTCCCTTTCTCTCATCACTCTCATCACACACACACACACACACACACACACACACACACACACACACGTACACACCCTTGGCATCCCCAGTGTGTAGCTGTTATGCAGTCATGCAGGCAAATGCCGGGGGGGGGGGGGGGGGTTCTGCAGAGGGCCTCACCCCCTAAGGACGGTGATTTAAACCAGCAGGAGACAAGATTATTTCTTTCCACCTGAAGTCTTGAATTGACTGACCCGCTAATTGCTCTTCTGGAGGGAGCTTCGGGCCAGTTTCTACTGGGAGTCACAAGTCAAGGCGACACAGATAAGTGAGAAGAGTAGGTTTTAAAAGTCACTTTCACACCTCAATGTCACCTGCACAGTGGGGAAAAAAAGAGAAAAATACCTGGAATTACACTGTAAATCAGCTGTGCAATTGTGCATGTATATACGGTTTTCACTCAATTAACTGTGTTTGTCCTGACTCTTTCTTTCATAGGACTCAGGGTACAGGGTTCACTGACACCGACCCCGGTGCCTGTTTCTCTCATGACAAAAACGACCCCCTCTCCAGCCACCTTGACTACCTCTGCACAGAACACTACTATGGCCAGCACCCCCTTGGCCGGTGGCACTCACAACGCTTCTGTTCTCTCCACTGCTGCTGCATCCTTGACATCTCAGCCCTCCAAGAACATTTCTACGGTCCCCAGAGAAGAGGCTGCCACCAGCCCAGCTTCAAAGTGGAACAGCAGCAACACAGAGTCACCTGCCAGCTTCTCCCCAACAAGCAACGATGTCCACTCGACACCCACTCCCAAGGAGCATGGTCTCAACAGTTCTGAAGCAAGTGTGCCTACCACTACACCCCAGCCACCCACACTCATTTCTTCTCAGGCTCCAACCTCAACATCCACATCCCAGGCAACTTCCCCGCCGGAGTCTCTGTCTGCCTCCAGCATCTCTAACAACAGCTCCGCTGTGACCAGCATCCAGTCCACAGGAGCTCCAATGGCACCCACATCCCCAACAGAGGGGCCCAGCTCTAGTCAGACACCCACTTCCCATGTTACGGCCGAGCCAGCACCCAAGGAGAAATCACCCCAAGATGCTGAGCATGACGGAGTGTCCTGTGAGTCTGAGACCACCACCCCCTTCCTGATCATGCAAGAAGTGGAGAATGCCTTAAGTTCAGGTGAGTCCCTCTCGAGATGAGATGAATGTTCTAGGTCATGCTAAGGTCAAGCACCCCTCCCATGGGAGAGAGGTGGAATGCTCAGTACCTAAGGGTGATTATAAGGCTTTATAATTTTAACAAGAATGCAAGTTTTCAGTTACTTAACACTTCATATTCTCTGTAGTCAGTTGTTATCTGTCTGATGTGTCTTTACAGAATGTCACAGGGGTACATAAGTAAGACCACGAAGTAAAATTATCGGGTCAAGCTTTCCTAGGTTTTGCTTCCAACAACTTCCTAGCCCCTCTCAAAATGGGGGAGACCCCCGGCAAAACAAGATCTTTTTCCTTTGGGTATCACAAAATCAAAGAGAAAAATTGAAGCTGCGCATCAGGGGCCTACATCTGTTTATGTCAGAGAATGGAGAACTGGGGAGTCCAGGCTCGGAAGTGATTGGTTTACCTTGTCTGAAGTGGGAACATCATACACACAGGGTTTTCAAAAATAAGAAGACTGATAAAAGGAATATTCAAGACTTTGCCTTTAATATGGGAAATTCTTTCCCTCCTCCTATGGTGTGGTAGTCATGGCAGCTGGTGGGTATGTCATGAATAATATAGATTCAGGTTCTAATGAATTTTGAGGTTGTCTGGTCATCATTCTGGAAGCATTTTAGATCCAACTAGTTTTGGCTAGCCTGGCTGTAGAGACTGTTCTGGCCTTAGAAGACAAGATTAAGGCTAAAAATTCATTGTGGACAGCTTCAGCTCTGAGTCCTGACCTGGATCTCCTTCTTTACCTATGTGATGGAGGAAGGTCATTGGTTAAAAAAATAAAGAAACTGCTTGGCTGGCCCTCATAGGTTAAAACATAGGTGGGAGGAGTAAACAGAACAGAATGCTGGGAGGAAGAAGAAGTGAGCTCAGACTCAACAGCTGTCCCCTTGGTACCAGAGGCCTCAGAGAGACACCATGCCCTGCTCCCGGACAGACGCACGTGATGAAGCTCCGACCAAGGATGGACGTAGGCTAGAATCTTCCCGGTAAGACAGGTGCTCACAGATTATTAGAGATGGGTTGATCGGGATATCAGAATTAGCCAGTAAGGGCTAGAGCTAAAGGGCCAAGCAGTGTTTAAAAGAATACAGTGTCTGTGTAATTATTTCGGGGCATAAGCTTAAGCTAGCCATGTGGGCAGCCAGGTGCTGGGGACGCAGCCCCGCCGCTCCTATTACTACACCTATGCCTTTTATTTTCCTCATCGGTAATGTTTTGCCACACACTGTCCTCATGGAGATCAGATGGCAAACATGGTGCTTAGGGGAGCTCCTGGCACAGAGTAGCTCCAAAAACTACAATCTGGCTCAGTTCTAATGAAATGTTGGCCTTAGAAGCTGATCACTGTAGGGTAGAGGTGGAGAAGGTTTGTTCATAGACACTGCTGTGCCTCCTGGAAAATAGCATGGATTTTATAGAACACTGCACTCATTTTTATTCTCAAAAAAACCCTGTAAATTTAGTGTCGTGTTAGCTTCATTTTACCATCTTGAAAATTATGACAGACAGATATTCAGGGTCTTTTCTAAAGCTACACATAGCAGACCCCAATGTGAAACTCTAAACTTCTGGACCCTTGGCAGAAAAGCCTTCCATGAAAACAGCTGTCCTTGTGGCAAAGAACCAGTGGGGCAAGAATGGCCACATGCCAAGTGGAAATGGACCCTAAGCCTTTCCCTGGGTGGCCCTGGGGCAGGCTTGCATTGAGAATAGAAGGTTCCAGTCAGATCACGTATGACAAGCTAGGGCCAATGGAAAACTGTCAGTGGTGAGAAAAAGACATCTTTTAGTGGGAATAGACATAGTGCAAGAGAGTGGTAGGGAAAGAAAGGCTGAGATTAACGAAGGAATAACTGCTATGGAAGAGCCCATAGGCTAATCAGACAAGCAGTCCCAGAAAACTGTAAGCAGGAGACACTGTAGAAACATGTGGAACTTTGGTGGTGGTGCACACTTTAATCCCAGCACTCACAAGGCAGAGGCAGGAGGAAATTTCTGAGTTTGAGGCCAGCCTGGTCTATAGAGCGAGTTCTAGGACAGCCAGGGCTACACATAGAAACCCTGTCCTGGGGAATAAAAAAGGAAAGAAAAAAAAGAAAAGAAGGAAGGAAGGAAGGAAGGAAAAGAAATGTGAAAATTCCAAAGGATTAAAAACTATTTTTCAAATCTTATCTCAAAGGCTGGGGGCATACCAGTGAGGGGAACAAGAGTGAAGGAAACATTTCAACTGAGCTGAAGGCGTCGACTGCAGAGGCTTGACTGAGGTGCAGGAGGCGTACAGTAAGGGCCAGGCATGAGACAGGAAAGAACTGAAACCGGAATTCAGTAGCAAGCCCTGTGGATCTTTCCATGTCCTTCATGACAGCAGCGACTCTGGCTTGAAGGGAACTACCCTTCCTTCCTATTCTACCTCCACTCTGACATGCAGTCAGAAGCCAAAGCAAGTGAAACCAGTGGTGTAGGGGAGAGCCAGGTGGAGAAAGGCGGAGGGCAAGCCTGCACGGGGGTAGTGGTGACCCATTCCCAGCAAACTGACGCCTGTTCACAGTTCCAGGCCAGTACTCAGCACGCTGTCCTTAGCTGTGCACTCTGTTGCTGTCTCACCCTGACTTCCTGCCCGAGTTATGAGGGAGGTACCTAAAGCAGAGTGGGTTTCGTAAAATCCATCTCTCATAAAAGGAGCATCCAGGTACAAGGCTGTGGGCATGGTCCCACCCACCTTTTTCTTCGTGCTCTGGACTCTGAGAAGAGTGCTGCTTCTCTTTGCTTCTCCCCAGAATTCCACAGATGGGATGGTTTGATACTCTATCTGGTGATAGGGGATCTCCAGGATCTGATATGGCTTCCTGAAATCCGCTAGTTCCTTTACTGGAACTTTCAGGAATGTTCTGGCATTTTTTGGCTTGATCTTCAGATCATATTTCTTCTTTATTTCAACCTAGCAGGCCCAAAGGTTCAAAATTGGTGGCACACAGCTGAGTCATGGTCCTTTGTAGTTCAAGAAAATATGCACACGTGGGAACTCTGCATGAAGAGAAGCTTGGATGGATGGGGAAGAGAGAAAGGTGGCAGGGGAGGGTGATTACCAAGTCCAGGCCAGGGTACATTCATAGAACATGGAGAATTTGTCCCTTAAGATCTCTTTAATACAAAACTACTTAAAGTGCATCTGCCAGGACCCACTGGCTATCCTTTGGGATTCAAGCAGAGAGAAAGGACACAAGTTACTCCTAATTCCACTCCTAGCTTCTAACCCAAGTATGAACCAAGACATGCAGGACAAGTATGGGGGCCGTGGGACACAGTCTGTCCATCACGCAGGGAAGAGACTATTCCCTGGAGGAGTGAAGTGCTTCACTCAAGGTCATGCCTCTGCTCAAGGTCACGCCTCTCAGGACAGAGCTGGGCCCAGAATGATCTGGCTCTGGGTCAACCCAGCCTTGCTGCACACACCTCATCAGCCCTCAGCTCCCCTGAGCTCCTGTTTCCAGATGGACATGCTCTTCGGAGATCAGTTGCTGCCAGTGCTAAGCACCACACTTTGTGTGACAGTTGGTGTAGTAATTAGGAGCAGCGGGGCTGTGTTCGCAGCACCCCTGCCGCCTGCTCGGCTAGCTTATGCCCCGAAATAACAACACACAAACTGTATTCATTTAAACACTGCTTGGCCCTTTAGCTTTAGCCCTTACTGGCTAATTCTGATATCCCAATCAACCCATCTCTAATAATCTGTGAGCACCGGTCTTACCGGGAAGATTCTAGCCCATGTCCATCCTGGGTCGGAGCTTCTGCCCGGGAGCGGGGCATGGCATCTCTCTCTCTGAGGCGTCTGCTCCCGAGAGGAGAGCTGTGGAGTCTGAGCTCACTTCCTCTTCCTCCCAGTGTTCTGTTCTTTTTACTCCTCCCACCTATCTCTAACCAATGAGAACCAAGCAGTATATATATATATATATATATATATATATATATATATATATATATATATTTGGTTTTTCGAGACAGGGTTTCTCTGTGGTTTTGGAGCCTGTCCTGGAACTAGCTCTTGTAGACCAGGCTGGTTTCGAACTCACAGAGATCCGCCTGCCTCTGCCTCCCAAGTGCTGGGATTAAAGGCGTGCACCACCACCACCCGGCTTAAGCAGTTTCTTTTTATTTAACCAATGACCTTCCTCCATCAAGTTGGTCTTATTCTGGGTGAGTTTCCATAGCTCATTTCTATTAATCCACCTTTTCAACAAACACTTAGTCCTAGTCCACTGACTAATTCAGAAACAAAGCAAATGTTATGTGAGTTCAAATCAACCAGAGAAAGTGTGATCCTCCGTGGTGAAGGGAGCTGGGAGCATCAGGAAATGGAGTCTGAGCAGATGGGTCTGGGAAAAATGTGCCAAGGTGAGGGTCCAGAATTTCGGCAGGTGATGTGGAGGGGAGTGTACAGCATCTGTAGGACCACCTACTCTCGTGAGGAACCCTGTATCTTCCCTGCCCCCTGCTCCTTTGGCTAATTCTCAGGCCCAGGTAGATCTGATTACTATATAGCTGTTGACTTTGATGGCCATGGTTGGAGCCCTCATCTCCAAGGCACTGTCTCTGCTTGAGCTCCAGAGCAAGTTCTCTCTCATTCCTCTACTTGTTCTGCCTTTGCCTCCCTCACAGCCCATCAGCAGGTGCTCTAGGTAATATTGAGCACTTCAGGGCCGCCCCACCCTCTTTCCTCCCCTTTTGTTCCAATCCCCTTGCCTTCCTCCCTTTGGTCTGATGGTGCTGAGACACACACATCTACCCTGTCCTGTTTTATGGAACTGCACCTGTGTCTATCCCGCTATTGGCCAACTGAAGACCTCCCGGGGGTCAGCCACGAGCATCTCACACTTCAGATGTCTGAGGGAGACTATTAAATTCCTCAGCCCATCCTCCTGTGGATCTCCTGGGTTGTGTTGTTCCATTGACTCAGCCCTGATG